GCAGAATATCATCCCGATCAATTAAAAGCCACAGCACAACATCAACATCAATTTACAACATTATGGAATTAATTGACATGGTATTGAGTAACAAATATGTTAAAAAAAAAATGCAAGTTCTTAACCACATCCTGTGACTACTTCATTGACATTTCAATTTTAATTTATACACAGAACCGGCTGCTATACACCTTAAAATGGCTATAGGGTACTATTCAGCTGTCTGTATTCAGCAGTTTATAGTGTTGAAGCTTAATTTTGCTGAACTTGGCAGATTTGGGGATAGTCTAAACTGGCTTATAACTCTAACAAGGCATATGTCAACAGTTGAAGTGCAGAACAGTTTTAGGAGGGGTGTGCAGAGAAATCTTCAATACCCCAGTGAGGAGTAACTAATCTTTGTGTCCTACCTAGTAAGGCATGTGTGAGTCCACACTGACCATTTCCTGTCTGGTTCCAAGCTTTCCTTGTTGTTCTCTGTCTATTCCAATCTCTCTGTGTGTGTGTGTGTGTGTGTGTGTGTGTGTGTGTGTGTGTGTGTGTGTATGTGTGTGTGTTTTGGGGTGGGGGGCTCCGGAGCGACCCTGATGGTCATTGCAAGATAGGGTGGGGATCCAAAGTTGGAACTAAGTGAGGACCAGAGAAAGCTCTCTCCCTAGTCCTGAAGGAAGCTTACTGTTCTGTTTCTGCAGACTGCTCAAGGCTCCTGGCTGTTGTTCCGATGACCTTGGATCCTGCAAGGAAGAGTTTGGGCTTCTTCCATCCCATGTGGTAGATCCAAACGGGGGTGGATGACCTCAGAGTTCTTGGCCTCCGAAGGCATTCCAGTTCCCCGTGGTCTCCTTGGCGGTTGGGATGTAGTCCTTGGTGCCCATACTGATAGTCCTTGGTGAGGATCCGAGTCCACAGGGTTGGGATACAAGCCTCCTCCTGTCCACCTGCTCCACTCTGGGGTCCTCCCCTGCTCTGTGCATATGACCTCCTGTTAAGAGGTTGTCAGGATCACTCTTGATTCCCCCTGTATGTCTTTGTAGTTTTACTATTGTCTAATGCTGATTCGAGTCTGTTGTCTATAAGTTACCTGTTATGTTCCTGATAGGTTATACTTCACGTCTTCCTCACACATTCTAAGGAGATGGAAGATTTCTCTGCTCTCCCTCCCCATTTCTGAGTAGCATAGGGTCTTAAAAGTATATTAGGTTTTACAATTCTTTGATGTAGATCATAAGCAGTCTGACTCACATTGATTGTTGGTTCATTGGTTACATCACAATATCTTATTGCATGAGATACAGGCGGGTGTTGGTTCTAATCCTGGCAGCCCCGCTTCCCATCCAGCTCCCTGCTTGTGGCCTGGGAAAGCAGTAGAGGATGGCCCAAAGCCTTGGGACCCTGCACCCGCATGGGAGACTTGGAGGAAATTCCTGGCTCCTGGCTTTGGATCAGTACAGTTCTGGCTGTTGCAGTCACTTGGGGAGTGAATCATTGGACAGAAGATCTTCCTCTCTGTCCTCCTGTCTGTGTATCTGACTTTGCAATTAAAAAAATACAAACCTTGTATCTAGTTTTTCAATTACACTAAAACTCACTTTTAAGGTTTATTATTAACAGCCAAAATCCCAGGAGTAATTACAGTGGGACCTAATAGTGGACAATTAATTGCAGAGGATTCTCACTTTCTTATACTACTTGGTAGAGTTGAAACTGGCTAAAATTTAGTTTTTAAAGGCAGAACTTGGGGAGGAACTGAGTTAACACCCAAAACTTGATGGAAATTGAAGAAAATTAAAAAAGGCACCCCCTTCCCTATGCTGGGTCTGGGTAGGGATTACATAATTGCTTTTGTTTTTCTCTTAAGGTAGAAGTGGAGACATTCTTTCCAAGTCGATTCCTCCATCACTATTGCCAAACCACATCAACTTAGCCCAAAAATCTGGCAATTTGAAGTGTAAGAAAGACAATGTCAGGGGAAAATACTGACCTTAGAATCTACCCACCAGGTACTGTGTGCCCCTCCACAGGGACTCCCTGACACTGTGTTGTCCGTAAGTCAGCAGTCCTTGGAGCCCCAATCTTAAGGCTTTAAACAGAAGAATTTTAAAAATGGGACTTCAAAAATAGTTTATGAACTGTAAAACACCATACAGGCAACAAAAAGCGAAACGACTAGAGAAATGCAGACAACACAGAGAAAAAGTCTAGCATCCATCTTTTATTTTGACAAATGAACTTCACAGATTTTGCAAACTCCCCAATTTTCACTTACTTGAAAGACGAGAGACAAGGCATCTTAGACATGAAGGGAAGAATCAAATCGTACCAAGTTTTCAAGTTGTACACGTGAGCTGCGTTAGTGTGGCATTCAAGTGAGTGGTGACCAATATTCACTAGTTTCAAGTGTACCTATTAGAAACACGGACAGATCGGGGTTTGTTTTTACGATGTATTTATTTTACACATGGGAATGTTTTTAACCACAAGGTTTCATTATTAATACGTGTCGAAGTACTTGGCGTATGTATTTCCATTCGTGGTAGGCGCAGCTTCACAAATATTACACAAATAATGCTTTCTATCATTTCAACCGGAAGTTGAAACAAGAGAGGAATGTGGAGTTACGTGGCCGAAAATATTGTATTGATTGCACACTGACATAATGTCAGAATGCTAATCGTACTGTCCCTCAGGAATGACTTACGGAAATTTCAAGTAATATTTTACCAGAAAACATTGAAAGCTTTCTGGTGCAAAGCAAGTGAAACGATGTCCGGATTCAATCTCTAATGACCTCGCACTACAGATTCGGTGTAACTGGTTATTAGCACAGATTGCCAAGAGATTAACAATGACCCGGATGGTTCTGAAGTGTCTGTTCTTGTGGTTATTTTGTCTTTAATGTCTGTAAAATTTAGCGCTCCTCCATGGGAAGTTATAGCTTATTCTGCACTAGATACAGGTAACATGTATAGATTCAGGAAAAAAAAATAACTTTTTCACCCTCAAGGAACGTAGTTTTAAATTACACAAAATGAGTTTTCCACCCACATGTACGGAGAAAAAGTCCTGCTCAAATGTAAATGAACGGTCCACTTCCATAACCCTAAAACAGTAAACTCACATAAATGTTCCTACATATCTTACATAAGCACTTTTCAATTGTCTCTGAACAAATTTAGTTGCCATCTAGAGAGAGATGTAACATGCTCTGCACATCCATGTTCCAGAAAACTTGATGTCCAAGAACTGGAGACACCCCAGCTCTGTGGGACCCACGCACGGCTTCATTCACACTGCAGGCTGTCAACTCATGCCTCGTCCTGCGCGCTGCAGCTACACAAGTGTCAGCAAATTCAGGACTTTGCTTGGTCCCTATTGGGTCCCTCACAAACAGATTGAACATGTATACAAGTTAAACTTTAACGCAGTAATAAAGCTAGTCATTCGAACATAAATGAAGAACAGCACCCCAAGTCTTAAATTCGTATGTAGATTCAACAGCTAGCAGCATTTAAACATAGAGATAGTCCCATCTCATTTCTTCCCTTTCCTAAAGTGCCATTAGTAACTGGGCGGCCCCAGCATTTCAAGAACTACACTGTAAGTGTCTAATAGATTTAAGGGATCCTGGGAAAATAGGATTAAGCGTTTGAAATTTGCGAAAGGTTGCCGTAAGCCACAGAGACTACTAATGTATCAGTAAAATTAAAACTGTCCCTTACACGAGAACCATCAGGCCGATGGAAAGCTCACTCCACAGAAGCCTCGGCCCACTCCTCACTAATCGAATCGTCTCAATCAGAAACAGTTTCTGTAGGTAATTTTGACCTAAGCACCGTGAAATGCGGTTGTGCCAAGTGGAAGCAATGTTTGGTGATTCCCCAGGATAAAAAAAGGCAGCGAGTTTAGACTTCTACAACAGTAAAATCGGACAGAATCAGAATGAGATCATATTTACAAGTACCTTAGGTGGCTATGTTTATAAACTCTAAATTTGTGTCACCATTACTACCGTACCTTGGCACTGAGTGCAGTGATGTTAGCTCGTTGGAAACCATCCCACAAGTTAATTCCAGTGCACGGCTGCTCAGTAATTCAAATGGAAAAAAAAAAATAGCTGAACTGCCACTTACAAACAGGTGACCAATAGGATTCCTATGGTTATTCACATTATTCTTGAATTGCTACTTCTGCGTTTCAGCTCTCATCTGGCCCTCAGTAGTACCTCAAACATCAAATGCAATTAGTGAAAAAACGAAAAGGAGCAGCATGTAGCTTTGTTCTCACAAATACTACCAGCTTCACTACAATTTGAATTTAAAAAAAAATTTTTTTTGTTGTTGCTCTTGGAAGAGTAACCACTTAAAAAAAATTACATAAAAGAAGTGCAATGTATTCTGTATGGTATCCGGGAATGGGTAAAGCAAGGGAAGTCTAAATTATTGGCTGTCCCTCAAATCTAAATTCATCTCTGGTCCTCAGAAATGGGCAAGCGGGAGAGGAGAAGAGGGCAGAGGGGTAGGGGAGAGGAGGGCAGAGGGGGAAGGGAGAGGAGGGCAGAGGGGTAGGGGAGAGGAGGGCAGAGGGGCAGGGGAGAGGAGGGCAGAGGGGCAGGGGAGAGGAGGGCAGAGGGGCAGGGGAGAGGAGGGCAGAGGGGTAGGGGAGAGGAGGGCAGAGGGGCAGGGGAGAGGAGGGCAGAGGGGCACAGGGGAGAGGGGGCAGAGGGGTAGGGGGAGAGGAGGGCAGAGGGGCAGGGGAGAGGAGGGCAGAGGGGCAGGGGAGAGGAGGGCAGAGGGGTAGGGGAGAAGCAGGGCAGGTGTGGCGCGGCGGTGAGGAATCCTTGCAGACCCGCTTCTCCCAGGATGCCAGCCGCACGAGGCGGTCCAGCCCCTCACGAAGGCACCATCTAGCCTCACTCAGTCTTTCCGGGCTGTTTCTTATCCACACCGAGCATTTCACTCCTGCAGACACACCAACCTTAGAAGGTCTCCGGGAAATTCCTTTTACCCAAATACATTGGATTTAGGTCTCAATTTGAACGAGGAGGAGTGACCCTTGAGAGGTCGGTCCTCCTCCTCCTCTCCTTCCTCCAGTGGCTGCTCCGGGTCCCTGAAAGAGGGCGTAGTGTGAATAATCTGGGTTCGGAAGCGGATTTTGTTGAGTCTGGGTGGTTTTAACCGTCCACTGGAGCTCCCCGAGGCTTTGCGCCCGGGGTCCTTTGCTTTCCCTCCAGCCCAGCCCTCTGGCAGGTGGTGGTGGTGGTGGTGGTGGTGGTGGTGATGGTGGTCGCCTCCATCCTCCAGGACGTGCGAGAGCCTGTAGGTGATGAGGTGGGAGGGTAGCATCCTGGACAGCCTCCAGCGCCCCCCGACACCGCTGCCAGCGCTCTCCCCTTCCAGGTCGTCCAGGGCCCCCACCAGGCTCTTGATCTCCTCCGCGATGCTCTGGCTCAAGTACTGGGAGGCCTTCCTGCCGCTGTAATCCCTGATGTCCACGTCGGCGTCATAAGCGCCCACCAGCAGCTTCACCACCTCCACGTGCCCGTGCATGGCCGCCAAGTGCAGGGCGGTGTAGCCCCCGCTGGTCCTGGCGTTGATGTTCACCGGCAGCTGGTGCTTGTTGGCAAAGTTGACCAGCATGGCTAGCAGCTCCTGCCGGCCGTGCTTGGCGGCCCAGTGCAGGCAAGTGAAACCAGTGATGAAGTCCCGCTTGGCCAGGAGGCCAGGTTCGCAGGCCAGCAGCCCTTCCAAGCTGTCCCACTTGCCTTCGGAGGCCGAGAGCATCCAGGCGTGCTCCAGGGGGTCCAGGGTCACGGAGCCCCCGCCGCCGCCGCCACTGCTGCTTTCTTCCTCGGCTGAGGACGACGCCAGGGAAGCGCTGTCTGAGTCGCCGGTGCTTCTGCTGCGCCCTGGCCCGGAGGTGCTCCTTCTCAGCTGCGGGGAGCTGCCCACCACGAGGTCTCGGACGTTATGGCGGACAGGCCTGGGGGTGTGGGATCCTCCAGGGGGGCTGCGCTCGTTCCCCTCCTCCTCGCAGTGGCTGATCGGGCGCTCCAGTTGGACCGACCGCCCGGCCACCGGGCGGCCAGGTGCGGCGAGTCTTCTCGGGGCCCCGCCGTGGCCACTCGTCCCGCCGTGGCCACCCGTGACCAAGGACGCGCCATGGTCAGGTTCGCGGCCCTGTCCGGGAAGCGCCTGGCTCGCTTCAATCTCCTGGACGCTGGGAACGTCTTCGGGGGATGCCGCCCCGCAGAAGTCGCCGTTCTCCCCGATCTCCCGCGGCTCGGCTGGGCTGTGGATGGCCTCGTCGGGCGCTGGCGCGGTGGTCACTTGGACGCGGGGCGGGTCCCCGGCGGGTGAGGGGGACAGCTGGCCCTCGCCGAGGAGCGCGTTCCCAGGGGGAGCCGGGGTCCCCTCCACTTGGGGAGGCGGCCCGGGGCACAGCTTCCTCTTGAGGTGCACGTACTTGGTGCCGTCGGCAGGATCGGTGCGCACCACGGCCACGGCGTTGACCACCTCCTTGAAGCGGGCGCGGGCTCGGGCGCGCTGCTCCGCCTCGCCGCCCAGGGCGCCCCTGAAGTGCTGCACCAGCTCAGCCTGCCGGGCCCGGCCCCCGCGCTCCGCCAAGAAGCGCAGCACCTCCTCGGGCCCCGGCTCCGCCTCGGAGCTCGGCGCCTCCGGGGTCTCCATCGGCGGTCACTCAGCCAGGCCCCATGGCGGGGACCGAGCCGAGGCCGGACGAGGCCGGGCAGGCCGGGCTGGCTCCCACAGGACACCGCCTGACGGGGCCGGTCACGCCCACCACGCCACGCCCCTCGCCACGCCCACTTCCGGCTCGCGCGCCAGGGGGAGTGGGGGGCTGCGCGCCGGGCGCCCCTACCACCACCACCACCACCACCACGGCGGTCCCGCCCACTTCCGGCCTCCGTTCCCGCCTGGACTCCTAACGCCCTGTTCCTCACGTTACGACTCGCTCCGGGTCGCGGCCGCCCCGCTCCGGCCCGCCGCCGCCTGGCGTCCACCAACCAGGGCCGATGGGCGCTGCCGCGCCGGCCACGCCCTGCCCCGCGGAGGCCGCCCGCCCGTTAGCCGCCCCGCCCCGCGCCCCGCCCGTTAGAGCCGCCCTCCCGCCGCCCCGACCACCAGGCTGCCGTGCGCCCCCGCCGCGACCATGGCCTCCCCTCAGGTGGCGCGGCCCCAGGTGAGTCCCGCGTCCGGCGCCGGGCACCGAGCCCCCTGCCCGAGCCCCGGCGTCCCAGGGGCGAACCCCGGGGGGCGGCCCGCAGCGGCTCTGCCCGCCTCCCGGGGCTGTGGCCCGCGGCCGAGCGCGCAGCGGCGGGGAGGGTCCCGCGCCCCGAGCGGTTCTGGGCACTGGTGACCGTGCGCTCCCTGCGCCCTTCCTGCCTTCCCCGGCTTTGCCCTGCTCCCGGAGCAGGCGCTGCCCTCCCCGGCTTTGCCCTGCTCCCGGGGCGAGCTCTGCCCTTCCCCGGCTTTGCCCTGCTCCCGGGGCGAGCTCTGCCCTCCCCGGCTTTGCCCTGCTCCCGGAGCAGGCGCTGCCCTCCCCTGGCTTTGCCCTGCTCCCGGGGCGAGCTCTGCGCCCCTTCCAGGTCTTCCCTGTTCCCGGGCGAGCCTGCCCTCCCCAGCTTTGCCCTGATCCTGGGGAAGCCCTGCCTTCCCTGGCGTTTCCCTGCTCCCGGGCGAGCTCTGCGCCCCTTCCAGGTCTTCCCTGTTCCCGGGCGAGCCCTGCCCTTCCCGGTTTTGCCCTGATCCTGGGGCAAGCCCTGCTCTCCCCAGGTCTTCCCTGCTCCCGGGGCGAGCCCTGCCTTTCCCAGCTTTTCCCGGCAGCTGGGCTGTCCTGGCTGCCTCCATTCTCACTCCTTGGCTTCCTGAGTACGTGCTCCAGGGTTCTCCTCACTTTTGCACTTACCCTCATCTGTTTATCTTGTTTGATAACCTCAAAGTATGGTCACATCGGGGTTTTTTTTTTAAAATTACTATTATTTAACTTTTTAAAAGATTTATTTATTTGAAAGGCAGAGTTACCTTGAAATGGAGAGGTCTTCCAGCTGCTGTTCCACAAAGGGCCTCTACAGCCAGAAGAAAGTCAAGGGTTTCACTTTGGGGTCCCATGGTCTTAGCAGGGAGCTGGATTAAATGTGGAGGGCAGGGACTCTAACCACAGCCCAGATGGGATGCCCGTGGTGGCTTACCACGCTATGCCACAGCATGGGCCCCCTGTACTTGATAAAGGGTGTGCAAGTTCATTATGCTTCCAGAGTCTTGACGTTCAGCGACCTGGCTGTGCCAGTGGAATGTGCCAGTGAATTCCTTTCTTTGAAAACATTCCTTTGAGCCCGTGGTCCCTGAAGCCCAGTGCCCTTCAGAAGCCCGGCTCGGGCAGTCTCCTGCACGGAGAAGAGTTCAGTATGTAGGAACAGAAGGCAGCAGAAGGCGATTTCCTTTTCAAGATTTAGTTAGTTCATGAGTTATACATAAAAAAAGCAGAGTTACAGAGAAAGAAGGAGGTCTCCCCCTCACTGGGTCACTCCCCGAGTGGCTAGTCCAGAGTCTGGAGCTGGTCTGTGTTAGTCATGGGTGCAGGGCATCTGTTCTCTGGGCCATCTCCCAGTGCAGTCCCGTAACAGGTGGCAGAAGTTGGGCAGCTGGGACAGTCATGGGTGCAGGGCCTGTGTCCCCTGGGCCGTCCTCTGCTGCATTCCCAGGACGTGAGCAGGGGTGCACGACACAGGTCGCGAAGCCCACACTCGTGGGATGCTAACGTGCCCACGCACGGTGCCATGAGAATTTTGATGTGGCGTTTTGGTAGAAGGCCTGTCCTTAACGTGCTTGAGGTCATCTTTCTCCGGAGACACTTGCAGATTTCACTGTAGTCGAGGGACAGTAGGTGAGGTCCTCTATGCTCCTGACTCAGTTTCCCTCAGTGTCTTTAACACTGTGTGGATCACAGCAGCTGTTGACACTGATGCGATGAAGATGAAGATGAAGGATGCTTCTGTCCGGCCAGGGGTACCACATGTGCAGCCACACGCAGCTCATTTCTCAGGTTCCCTCCATCACTTCCGGCAGTCAGCCACTTAGTTTTCATTTCTGCAATTCTGTCATTCCGAGGCAGTCACATGATCAATATGTAATCTTTTTGCCCCCTTTTTTCCCCCACTGGCGGGGGGGTGGTGCGGAAGTTGTGTGAAGAGCCTGCAGTCTGTTGCAGGTGTCAGTAGCGGCAGAGTGGTATTCTGTGGTGTGGATGGACCACGCCCTGTCTGCAGGCTGGGGAGGTCGAGGTACTGTGAATGATGCTGCTGTGACACAGTGTAAGCCCAAGGCTTCCCCTCTAGGAATACAGGTGCTGCTGCAGCAAATGCTGCCTGAACGTTTACCTTTAAAACAGCACCACACTGCTTCCCAGAGCAGCTATAGCAACCAGTTCCAGTTCCTCCACGTCCCTGCCAACATTTGATGTTGTCAGATTTTTAATTTGGTCCTTGGGGGGGGGGCGGGGGGGCAGTCCTTCGTTAGGATTTTAATGAGCATTTCCCTAAGGATAAATGTTGGAATTCCTTTCTTGTGCCTGTTTGCGTATGTATGTATGTGTGTCCTCTTTTGGGAAATGTTTCTTCATTTCTTGCCACTAGGCAATAAAATTCTGTTTTAGAAGAATAAATTGTCTAAATGTTTCCTAATTAGAATTTGAATGTATCCTGGTTAGATGTGAGTCCTTTTCTGATACATGGCTTGTAAACGTTTTTTTCTCAATCTAGTTGGTCTTTTGGAAAAAGTTTTAAATTTTGAAGTTGATTTTATCAAGTTTCCCTTTTACAGGTTGTGCGTGTGTTATCCAGTTTAAGGCTTTGCCTAACTCTGCATCCCGGAGATGCCGTTTTCCCGACAGTTACATAGACTGTTCTACCCTTAATGCTACCATCCATTTGGAAATGGCTTTTCTGTGTCAGATTTCAGTCAAGGACCCACATCATAGGTGGTCATTTAACCTGCTGCACTATGCGATTTTAACAGTTTTTAGATAGAAGAAGACTCACAAACGTACTGAGGGTTCGTGCCTTGCCCAGGGTGTCAGACTGGTTGCTGTTGATAACTGCCCGGTGCCTCCAGAGTTGCCCTTGCTGTGAATTGCATGCATATCAGGATCTAGGTGTTGGCTGGCTAATTATTGCTGGTGGTGATAGTGGATCTTAAAATAATGTTGAGAACAATGTGCCGTTTTCCTGTCCCTGTAATTCTCCTAAGATTGTCTTGAAGTCCTGTCCGAAGCTTTGCCATTGTTGTCCTCGTGTCTCCTTTCCTGTTTTCTTGGCAACGCTCCTCTTTCCTCTTCAGTTGTGTTTAAGTGACCGTGCTTTTGGTACCTTTTCTTGGTGGCTTTGCTTTGTGTCTTGAAGTTGAGATTCTTGGCTCTTTGCTTTCATGTCCTAGCGTTAATTAGCACCTTTGTGCCTCTGCGTGCTCTGCCTCTGCACTCATTACAGTGTGATGAAAGACCCGGTCCTGCTGGGGAGCCCCCGCCCCTTGGCTTGTCAGACTGTCCTTGGGCACTTAGTCATGCTGCCCCGCAAGCTTTTGTGTTGTTACTTAATGTTTTGTGTGAGTAATTTTAGTGAGCTCTGTTTTTTTTTTTTCTTTTGAATTAGATGATTTGTCTTCAGGAAGAGCAATCTTCATCATTCTTTGTACCTTCTCGTGTCTTCGAGGGCAGGTGGTGCGGGCTTTATTGGGAAACTAGGATCACCTTGGATCATTTGATTCTTGCTGAATGTTAAACAGATAAATTATAAATGCTTTCAGGTTATTTCTGGACAGATCGGCATCATAAAATAGTCCCAGATGTATTTGTCTCCGTTGAGTAATTGGTAGATTAATTTTGATGTATGGGAGAGAAGAATGGTGGTCTTAAGTTTTTAGATTCAGCTAGGGATTTCCTCTCTCTAAGATGTACAAAGCTTGTCTTCCAAAAACAAAATACTTCCTTCTCCAGGATTTTTCAAGGACATCTTTAAATCTTATATTTTCTTCTGATTTTATCTGATAGGAAGTTTGATTTAGGGGATGCTATATTTTAAATTTTTATGTGACATCCTTTAGGATTTGTTATGTACTAATTTGAAGATTATGGGGATAGGAATCTTGTGTTTCTCATAGTCTCAAACACATCCCTGAGGGATTTAAAACTCTCACTTAAAACTAAAAAGGCAGACATCATTATTTAGCATCCTGGGATATAGCACTTAAAATTTGTTAGCATTATTTCTTTAAATAAATACGTACCTTTTCCTCCATAGTTCCTTCTCTTTCGAATTTTATTTTTGGCAGTTATTCATACTTGTGTTTCTTAAAAACAAAAATCCAGTGTTTTGTCAGTGAGAATTTATCTGAAGCAGTTGAGATAAAAGTAATAGTTTATTACATCCTAGATGAATTTCAGGACATATCTAAAAGTGAATTTTTGGTCCCTAATCTTGAAATCCAGAGTTATATTTGGGCACCTGTTTTTCTGTTTGGATGGAATGACACGGCAGCAGGTGTGTGCTGTTTCTCTGGTGACTCACAGACCTTGCTGTCACAGGTGAGGCTGCTGGTTTTACCTGGGCATGAGCATTTCCTTCTGTGCCAGCTTCCTGCTGATGCGCACTGGGTGAGGCAGCAGCTGACCACAG